CTATTCTATTCTATTCTATTCTATTCTATTCTATTCTATTCTATTCTTTCGAATGATATTTTTCTCTTGCAGAGAGTTATGCAGCTCTCAGTAGAAAAGCCTTCACTTGCATTGTTAGGAATTGATAGTCACCTAACAGTTGGGTTGGAAATATATAAACCAGGATAGACATTTAATACTGTCTCTTTAAGGGAATGTTAAAATTGTAATTGGGTGTGGTTCTTCAAAGGGCTATAAGATGGAGTCAGAAACCTGGGTTGTTCTGTTCTGTTGTTGCTAGATGTTCTGATGTTTTCTGTTTTTGGTTCCTGCATTTTTTCCTATTGACTGTTACTGATTATCATTCTTCTTGAATTGCTGTAAGTCTGTTACTGAACTGTGTATGATACTGGACGTTGTTATTTGGATTATCCCTGGTCTGAAAACTGAATGCTTTAACCGTGTATGACTTGGACCGCTTGTTGGACTTTGCTTAACCATTTACTGGAAGTAAAAACCTACATTTTACTATTTAGTGTATCTGTGTGCTGGTCATGTGCTATTCAACATCACTCTCACTACGTCTCCCTGTGTGCATTCATTCTCCTAATGAGGAATTACCTCAACATTTATGACTTTAGATGTACTGCATCCATGTGAGCAAGAACCTGCAGGATTATGATGTCATATGAATGATGTCTAGAGGGGCATGGCTGATTCGGAGCATTCATGCAGGAAGATCTTTAGGTAAAGAATACCAGGATGAGGTTCGTGACATCCAACCGGTACCTGTTATTTTATTCTAGAAAAGGAAAGACTGTTTTTCAAAACTGGGGATATAAGCACCATTGAATCAGTATAGAATGAGCTTTCTTTGTGAGTAATCAACATTTTTGCCAAAGAATCTTTGGTTTAGTTATAGAACAACAAATGTCATGTTTGTATACCATTGGCGAGTTACCTTTCAATATGCTACCAACTTAAGACTACATAAATAGGGGCCATTAGGGGACAGCAAAGAAAACTCCAACTTTTTGCCATAAAATAGTCATCTGAATTTTTGCAGCCGGCATATAATACTCACACCTCAGTACCTTAAAAAATACCTGTATTTTTACTTCATATTCTTGTACGTACTCTTCTAGCTCCTGAATTTGGTGTTTCATCTGGAAAACAAATTCAAGTAATGTCTGCCATGCTCTTAACATATTATTTGACTGCTTTGTTTTTATTATTCAGTGCATTTACATAAGCACATTTAAATGTCATTAAGTACCATATCTAGGCTACAAATTTCCAGATGGCAATAAATGGCTGCAAAGAGATACAAACCTCCCCACAACCTTTTGTTTTTATTAATGGTCATTTTCAGTTTTAGAGTTCTTTATCTTTGCCTTAATTAAACACGCAGTGACTGAGTAGCAACATCATTGTAGAAGTAAAAAATACAATATGTCTGAGGCTTAGTCTGTTGTGGGAGTCCAATTATTGTTTTTTATAAGTCACGTATACTTTTTTATTATTAAAACCCAGAATTGTGATTCATTCAGGGAATCATAGCCATATAAACTATGTCATAACAAAATGTATGAATCCCCATGTTGGCTGAACATGGGGAAGTATTGCAGGGAAGTATTGCAGTGTTGAAACCTTCAGAGATGCTTGCCCTCAAAATCAGTTAGACTATTTGAGCTGTCTTTAAAATACCTGAAAATCACCAGGGAAGCATGAAAATGAAATATTTTGGAAGGTCACTCAAAGACCTTGATAATACCAGCCAAATATCCTGCTACCCCTCTTGTCAAATTAAAACAAAAGTCCTTGCTTTTCGAAAGGTTAATGAAGAGATTGTTAATAAAAATGATATGTAGTTAATTCCAAAAGGCTATTCTAAAAGACCCAGACCTGGATATGTTAAAGGAAAACTTCTGTGTGATTTGTCACACAAATCTAGTTAGTGGGCAGAGACCATTAAAGCCCAGAAATTCACCAAGACACCAGCCAGTTGCAGAAAGGACAACTTTAAATTGTCTTTATTGTACCTTCTCCCTTAGGAAAGAGTGAGGAACAAACTCTGAGAGAATTTTATCACACTCTTCCTTCTCATTTGGTGAGCCTACCAAGAATAATCAGAGGAACTGCACCGCTTTATTCCTCATGAGTAAATTAATGAAGAGTTGGATTGTCTAGAATAAAGTGTGGGAGTAAGTAGGAAGTTTGTGTGAGCCAGGGTATTTCTATGCAAATGCATATCAAGCTACACGCTGGTATCTATTGTTCCATGTCTCTTTTAGGGAAAAGTTACATGTATATTTAACTCCGGGGATCAGAATACTCTAGGATTATGAATTCAATTTGCTGTTTTCAGAGAGAAGCAGACTTGAAATTGCTTAACTTTATGAAACTGTTATTGTCTCTTTATAACTGACTTCTCTAACTTTTCTCTTCTTCTCACAGCAACCAGAATTCGCAGCATCATATTCCATGAAGCTGATATAGTGGAGTCTATGGAAACTGATTCTATGATACATTTTAGAGTCATTATAAGACTCTTTGAATTGCACACTAACACACTTAACTCTTTGAAAGTTTGGCATATATAATAATAAAATATACCTTTCTGAAAACTTCATCTTCGTCTCCACAAATCAGTTTGCATTCTTGAAGCTCCCTCTAATTAAAAACAATAATAATTACTTATCTCAGTGGATATCCCAGCTTGTTATCTCAAAAATAGTAATAAAGCAGGAGTTGAGGACAAAAAGCAAAGATTTTCAACTTTTCTCTTCAGCTACTCTGAGATAAAATGCAGCATTCACGGTGTAATGCATAGAAAATGTGATATTTGTCAAACATGAGGCTAAATTGAAGTAATCAAATGTTATGGTTCTAATGTTTTGATCCAGAAGTCTTTTCTTATTTGTGCTGTATTGTGAACAGGTAGAACTACAACATCTTGTCAATTGGTCAATCAGTCAGGAACTAGACGACTGCCAGATGGCAGCAAAGAAAATTGTACAAAAACATCCAGTGCAGATTTTTGGCCTTAGACTAAGTGGTATCTCTACTGCAATAATAACAACCAATCAGATCAATTGTAATTATTTAACTGAAATGCTTTGGAAGAGGTTGATTGAATATTTGTAGGTAATCTGTACTTCAAAATTCATACTGAATAAGATACTTTACACATTTAAATTCTGTGACAAAAAATTACATTTTAGGAGTTCTGGTGATGTTTTCTCTCTGTATAAACCTGATCTTCCCCACACTCTTTATTATAAACCAATAATATATTGCAGCATATTCAACCACCATATGCCCCTTTGGTTCTTAGTCTGAAACGAGTTACATAGAGTTTCATATAATAATGACAACAATAAAACTTCCCATTTTTCACACAGACAAGTCCTTAACAATGTATTTATTTTTATTCTGCTTCTACATTTATTTACCTGTAGTTTGTTGACATAACAGCAGAGCTGAAGGTAGTTCCTCTGATTGATATTCTTTGATGCTGTCAAAGCTGAGCTCTAGTTTTGAACACAAAAGCAATGCAAAAATTCATATTCAGTTCACCACAATGGACTGATCAGTCAACTGTTCCTTGCTACATCTTGATATATAAGGCCAATTCATAAACTGGTCTGATAATCTTAAAACTGAAGCTTCCAGTTTTGTTTTACTGATAGATGGTAGTGAAGCCGAAGCTCAAATATTTGGCCCCCTAATGAGAAGAGAGGACTCACTGGAAAAGATTCTGAAGCTGGGAAAGAAAGATTGAAGGCATAAGGAGAAAGGGACAGCAGTTGGTTAGATAGTATCATTGATACAATGAACATGAATTTGGGCAAACTCCAGGAAACAGTGGAGGACAGAGGAGCCTGGCATGCTATGGTCCATGGGGTTGTGAAGAATTAGACATGACTTAGCAACTGAACAACAACTGATAAATAGGGTTCCCTTTTGTTTCTCCATCCTTCCTTCCAGGAAGCTAATTAACAGTAGCTTCAAAGAGGAAAACTTTCATTGGTGGGAGACTTGGAACAAGCAAAACATCATCTCTTTAAGTATTGCCTCTGTCACTTTCAAGGAAATCCCCGAATGTCTACTTAGGAGCAAAACCAAACCAAAGGTGATTACAATCGGAAACGTGCCATGCCACCCTTCGTTGGATGCTTAATGTAAAATAACTTTTATAATGACTTGGTAAAATAGTATCTATGTTGCATGTATTAAATAATGTGAATGTTTATTTCAACAGAAATTAAATCGTAATTTCAAAACTAAACTGGGGAAAAAAGCTGCACTCTATCAAAATTTAGTGCTTGAGGCATAACATTCATTTCTGTGACAAGTGAGCTACAGCTGAGATATTCAGCTGCGAAAGCTGTTTCATGTTTCCCTCTGTAATGGTTTTCAGTCTGTCAGGGCAGACATATGATAAAGAAGGATGAGCACAGTGGAGATAATTACAGTGTATTTTTTTTATTTAAGTTTTTATTAGTTTTTAAAAACAAACATAAACAAACAAAACATAAAAACATCAAGCCATCTTCCATATGTATACATACAGTGTGCCGGTTGGTTTACAAATTGCTTTGTGCTTCCATTTCGTAGTCTTTAATTACAATTACATTGCATATAATCTCATATTTTCAATCAAAAATTAAATACCTTAGTATCATTATTAATCAATCATTTGACTATACTTTTATTCATTCATGTTTTACAAGATAATCATAATTTACTTAGTTTGGTTTATAACAGTTCATATTATTATCCCAAATCTATCCTAAAATCATTTTGTAGATATAATAAGAAAGAAGTACATCTTTATATATTTATTATTTTCTAAAAGTCTACATATTTCATTACTGTATTATATTGTCTAACCATTGATAGAATAGATCCCAAATTTTATAAAATTGTTTATCCTCTTGTTCTCTAATTTCAAATGTCAATCTACTCATTTCAGCACATTCCAATATTTTCTTAATGATTTCCTCCTGTGATGGTGTTTTCTCATTTTTCCAGTTTTTAGCAAATACAATCCTAGCCACTGTTAATACATTTACAATCAGATATTTCAAGTCTTTACTATATATTTCAGGTAAAATTCCCAATAAAAATATCTTTGGTTTCAAGTCTATATGTTTTTTGTCATTTTTTCCAACCACATGTGGATTTTAGTCCAGTATTTTTTAGCATCCGCACAAGTCCATCACATATGGTAATATGAGCCAGGTGTCTGATGACATTTCCAACATTTTTCAGATTTATTCTTGAACATTCTTGCTATTCTTGTCGGGGGGAAAATGCCACCTGTAAAACATTTTATACAAATTTTCTTTATATGCTGTTGACATTGTCATTTTATAATTTTGAGACCACAATTTTTGCCATTTCTCTAAATCAATCCCATATCCAAAATTCTTTCCCCAAGCAATCATATTCTTTAACTTGTTCTTCTTCTAATTTAATTTCTAATAAATATCCATACAATTTTTTAATCACCTTTTCATCAGTACCTGTCAAAATCTTATCTAAATCAGTCAATTTATAATAGAAACCTTCCATTTTAAAATCTTTAAAACATGAAAACCAATTCATCTTTATACCTTGTTCCTCTAGTTTTTGTATAGATTTAAGTTCACCCTTTTCATTCAATATTTCACCATATCTAACTGTTTCTTTTTGTATATTATAGGATAAGAAAATGATTCAATAGTCGATAGCCAGACTGGAATTTTCAAATAACATTGTCTTTTAATCTTCTCCCAGTTTAACCACAGAGACTCCCATATACTAAAATACCCCTGTGTTTTAGTTCCTTTATACCATAAAAAAGCATGCCACCCCAACAACAAATCATGTCCTTCTAATCTCAACAATCTAGTATTTCTTAGTGTTACCCATTCCTTAACCTACATCAGATTTGTAGCTTGATAATACAACTCCCAATTAGGCAAACCAAATCCTCCTCTAATTCTAGCATCTTGCAAAAGTTTTAACTTTATTCTTGCTTTCTTACCTTGCCATATATATTTCAACACAATTTTATTTAAATCTTCAAAGTAATCTTTTCCAAGCCTAATTGGGATTGTTTGAAACAAATATAAAATTCTCGGTAATATATTCATCTTGATTGTTGATATTCTCCCTATTAGTGACAGTTGTAAATTTTCCCATTTCGCCAGATCTAGTGCTATCTGCTGTTTAAGTTTGATATAATTATTCTCTTTTAGTGTACTACATCTTGCTGTCAAATATATCCCCAAGTACTTGATCTTATTTGTGACCTGAATTTTCAATAGGTCTGCCAGTTCTTCCTTTTGTCTTAATAGCATATTCTTTGTCAAGATCTTTGTCTTATCTTTATTTATTTTCAAACCAGCAACCTTTCCATATGTCTCTATCTTTTCTATCAATTTTCTAGAGGGTCTTCTAAGATGAAAACTAGATCATCTGCAAATGCTTGCAGCTTAAATTCTTCCTTTTTGATTTTCATTCCTTTTATATTCTTTTCATCTCTAATATTTCTGTTTAGCACTTCCAAAGTTAACACAAACAACAAAGGTGATAGTGGGCACCCTTGTTTGTTCCTTTTCTTATATTGATAGAGTCTGTTAGTTCTCCCTCTATCATTACCTTTGCCATTTGCTTATAGTATATAGCTTCTATTGCTTGAATAAATTTTCTAGCAAAGCCCATCTGTTCCAGCAGTAATAACATGAATCGCCAATTCACATTATCAAATGCCTTCTGTGCATCTAGAAATATCAGAGCCATTTTGTTAAGTTTGAGGCATGGGTTAATGAACGGAGACCAGACTGTAAACTGTGAACTTCAGCTCTTTATTCACGAGCATAACAGAGACAAAAAACCCCCGGCTAGCAGTCACTCTTTTATAGAGTAAGCTGCTCCCCGGATAACCAATGGATAGTGTTTGAACCTTGGCGCAGCCCGCCAACAGCCAGTCAGATTGCTTGGAATGAACCAATCATAACTTGCCATTATATGGGCCAATAGGACGTGCAGAATTACGATCCTGCTAGGCAAATGAATCTTTATTAATTACATTTCTTTCGTTCACAACACCCCTCCCCCCTGGGTTTCATTTGACGGCCGTGGTGACGTAATCACGCAGGTATGCAGGTCGTTTTACCTGTCTATTCGATTTTCGCTGTTCCACCGGTTTTTGTTTAAAGTTCGGTTCCGGTGGAACGCAAGGCTCGTCTTCACCCGGGGTTGATTCCGCGACACTATCAGAGTCCCTTAAGTCCATTCCTGGATCGGGCGGGCATGTTTCCGCTATGGTGTTCCTCTGCAGGGAGGATGCCCCCGATCCCGGACCTTCTTCAGGTGGCGCGAGCACTCGGTTTAGTGGCCGTCTGTCCCCGATTACGTCGTCGTCTATGTAGTCTTCGTCCCCCTTGGTATTCCCTCCTCCCTGAGTTTGGAAGTCCGGAGGGTCGTGAATATTTGATTGTAAACGAGATCGGAGTTGGTCTATGTCACGTTTCCATATCTTGCCATCTGTTGTCTTAAGGCGGTAAGATCTAGGGCCAGTGAGGTAGACTATGGTGGCTGGGACCCACAGCGGTTCGCCGGAAAGGTTTTTTGCGTAGACTAAGTCGCCTACCTTGAATTGGCGATACGTTCCGCTGGATCCACAGGGTTTCTCTGGCGAGTAAGACAGGTGTAGCTGGTCGAGGCGGGAGCGAAGCTTCCGCCCCATTAAAAGTTCGGCTGGGGTCTTGTTGGTGACACTGTGGGGGGTAATGTGTTGTAGTAAGAGTATTTTGTTCAATCTAGCGTTGATGTCCCCCGGATCCATTTTTTGGAGTGTCTTTTTAAGGAATTGGACCATCCGTTCAGCCCTACCGTTTGCCGCAGGGTGAGCCGGCGAAGTTAAGGCGTGGCGGATGCCCCGGTCCGCCAAGTATTGTTTGAAGGCGAGGGCCGTAAACTGGGGTCCGTTGTCGGAAACTAGAACGTCCGGGAAACCGTGTGTTGCAAATAATCTATCTAGTTTTTTAATGACCGAGTCAGTAGTTGTGCTTTTCATCTTGTGGATTTCGAGCCAGTTGGAGTAGGCATCCACGGTTAGGAGAAAAGTGTGTCCTTTCGTGGGTCCCGCGAAATCAATGTGGATGCGGGACCACGGGCCTCGAGGAGTTTCCCATTCGGTGGGAATTGCTCTCGGTGGGGCGTTGCTGACTTCTTGGCAGTTTCTACACGTGGTAACCCAGGCTTCAATTTGTTTATCGATGCCTGGCCACCACGCGTAGCTTCGAGCGAGAGCCTTCATGCGGACGATGCCCATATGTCCTTCGTGTAGGGTTTTCAACACAAGTCGCTGTAGTTTCTCTGGCACAATGACTCTATCTCCCCATAGGATGCAGCCCTTCTTGGAGAATAGTTCCGTTTGCCGGTGTTTGAACGGCGTGAAAATGGCAGGGGTTTCTTCGACTGGCCACCCGCGTTCGACCCAACTGAGAACTTTTGCGAGGATAGAGTCTCGTTTTGT